ATGGTAAAAGAAAGATGAATCATTTTTCATCTCAAACGTGAATGTTTTCTTTAAAGATCATCTATTGAACAACAAACTCATGGATCATTTTAAAAGACTACTCAAGACATATCTATTTCATATCTACTAGCTGCTTGCTTCATTTGCTCAAATAATCTCCATAGATTATCGTGAATGAATTCTTAAAATTAATCCCAAAATTATTGTATAATTGTCTAAACATTTATCATTTGAAATTTGAGAATGGAGATAAAAAGATATGACAAATAACAAAGCATGGAATAATAGCTTGGATGAAAAAGAAAATTTAATGAAATGCATCATACTTGCCTTTTATTAAAATGATAAAAAATGAAATCTTATTACATAAAAAAAATCCTAACATTACTCTAAAAGAGATCCCATAATGACAAGTAACTTCAACCAACCTTAACATTCTTCTCAAAATTATGCCCTTATGTGATCAGAAGAAGAATTTTTATTAACATCTTACCCCTCTTGATTCGTCAAATCTCACTAGGCTTTTTCGGATCAAATTTTGCACCTTGTGTTTGAAAGCTGGACAAGTTTCAATAGAATGACCCACGTTTCCTATTATGATAATCATATGTCGCATTAGCATCATACCATTTTGGATAACGTGAATTCAATGGTTATAGAATAATTGGAGATGACAAGTTGTTCTTAACCAGTTTTGGGAATAACTTAGTGTAATCATGGGGATAAGATCAATATAGGCCCTTTATTAGTTATTTCAAGATCTCTTTAAACTACTCACTTGGTTGTTAGGCTTTGAAGCTAATGTAGTGATATGACTAGACCCATATACAAGTACTTGAAAGGTCGATGGGTAGGTTGGTGGGTAAGCTGATTATGGATATGGTTGGTAAAGGGCCTGCGCAATACCATTAACTGAAACAGTAAACAAGATGAACAATCGATGGATATAGAGCATAGCTTTTAAATTGTTGCTCATCAAAATTCACTATTTGGGCTTTAATTTTTTTTTTTTTAGGTAATCCTCATTTATTTATGGTTTCTCTTTCCTAAAGCTTGCCACTTTTGATAGCATTTCAATAATTGCTACTGAAATTACCATATCAATGAAGTTTTTCATTGCATTTCTATCATCTTTTCATAATAGGGAGATCTTAAAGTGCTTACAAACAGCATTATGGTCTTTTTCTTAGTCAAAGGTGACTGGACTTGAGTAACTATGTCTCTCCACTTCTGGCCATACTTTTTAAATGATTTAGTTACCTTTTTTTATATTCTATAAAAATAAATGATCAGGAGCTAAATCTATTATATGTCATACTAATTGATGAAGTCACAGGCCACATCACTTTAGGACTGAATACGAGTCTTATCTAACTAAACATGTCACCTAGCAGCAGAGCCAGTAAAATTATCTTGAAATATGTGTATTAACAACTTCTCATTATCAACATAGGCAATCATCTTCTATAGTACATAATGAAATGAGTCTTTGGGAACTTTGTACCATAATATTTTTCAAACTTTAAAACTTTAAACTTTGGAGGTATAACGACATCTGGGATTAAATAGAGTGTAGCAGCATCATAGAACCATAAAAACCAATTCTTTTACTGTTCACAACCTTTCCTCCAATGAGTGTATCTTTTATTCAACTTTTAAGCCTTCTAAAGACTCTTTCTCCTTAGGCCTCAGCTACTTTTCTCTTATGGATCATCCAAGTTAGAGATTGGTATAGGTTTTACTACCTTCTCAATAAAGATAAAATTTACATAACTCTAGCAATGCCCTAAATTTGAAGTCGTGGCATTCCAGAGTATGTATACCCTATAAGGTATATGTACTGCTATGATGGTGCATCTTATATAAACTGGGCTTGATACGACCCATACGACGAGGATAAAAAAGATCAACATCATCTTATAAGGGATGGTCTTACAGCTAACATTTTCTTCTACACTCTTTCTCTTATTCAATTTATTCAAGGCTTTCAAAATCTTACTCAACTCCCTTTCAAATTTTTCTTGGGCTTTTTCAATTTTTTCCAAACAGTTTGTATTTTTCTATGCCATTTTCCTAGCTTAAGCTCTAGTGTTGCACTAATGGTGAATGGGTTAAACTAGGTTCTTAAACGATCGAGCTATCTTTGAACCTTGTACCATAATTAACGTGCTTATGTTACTAAATGTGTATGCAAAAAACTTTTAAAATTAACCTAACTTTGTTAAGAATAAATGCATTGAATACTTGACAAAATAAATTATGATTCATAAACACATGAATGTATGCACAACAATGGATGAATGAATGTACCGATGTTTATCTCATTATGATGCATGAATGGATACATATGTTAGTGATGCTGGAACAAGATACAACACACAACATACAATAACTTAATCAACAAGGATAAAATAACATTTATCATGAATGAAGCTCAAAATGTCCACTCATATGTCTTAATTAGGGTTACATTCTAATAATAGGTAAATATGGTTCTAACCTAAGGTTGGCTTCTTATGTGTAAATTATATGTTGGGCTCAGTGATTTTGACCACTAAAGGCTTTCAAATTGTTCCTTACATAATTGTCCATCACACACTAGTAAGCATTCTAATCCTCACCCATCATAAGCTAACAATAGAGAGTATTCAATTTGAGTCGGAGTATTACCATTGTGGAGATTATCATCTCATGAGAGATTAGGTGCTTTACTTCCTCCTAAGAGGGACAGAGCCTGGGTATATAGCTCATATAAAACAAATGCATGTGCTAGTGTGCATGAAGAAACATATAATTGTCAACCCTATAAATAAAATAAAAAAGAAAAAAATATTAATAAACAAATAACATAATCATTACACTTTAAAAACATTACATCAAAGGATAGGATAAATTTAAAACGTTATGGCCTGATTCTTTATAACATCCCCAATTGAGTCATCAAACTGTCTTCACATATAAAACTGTAAATCTATAGCTAGACTTAACAATAGGAGCACCAATCTCTTATTAAAGTATGATTAACCACCTAATGAATCTATCTTTTTAAAGAGCTTCTAAGTTTGACTAAAGGTCTCTAAAGAATAGGTTCTGACTTTCTGAACAAAATTAAGTTCGAAGTTCGATTATGTGTAGGAAAAGTTATAGCACCCCACAACGCCTATCTTAAGATAATACCATTTTATTTTAAATTATCCTAACAATTATCTTGGTTCTAGTAGTTTTTATTTTAATGTTTAAATATTAAAAATAACTTCTAAGATTTCTTCATCAATATAGAAGAATTCTTAAGAATACTATCTCACCTCAAAAGTATTCAAGAATCTCATTTGTTTTTTTGAAAAGACTTCATCGTTAGAAAATTGTTTAATCATTTTTTATTGAAAATATTTCTTATTATTCTACCATTTGGATCAAATTAAAATATCTTCTCACCTAGAAATTTTTAAATAATCAACCATTTACAATTATTAAAAATTTCATCATCAAAATTTATTTTTATTTTGATTTCTAAATTTTTTACTATTTGGGTCTATTTAGATATTCTTTTTATTTTTATCTTTGTTTAGAATTTTTTTTGTTTTTTTATCTTTAGAAAGAAAATAATATGACAATTATTTTTAAAGTTTTATTTAAATTCTTCCACTATATTGGATAAATTTAAAGAAATTTCTCGCCTAGAGATTTTTAAAAAATTTATTATTTGAAATTTTTAAAAATCTCATCATTGATAATTGTCAAATATTTTTAAAATTTTATTAAACTTATTTATATTTTATATTTTATTTTTTACAATTATTCTTTTTAAAATAATTTTCTATAATTCTCCTAAAAAAATTTAATCATGTAAGATACTTAAAAAATAAATAAACGATCAAAATAAATAAATAAATAAACCAATAATAAATAAAAAAAATCCAAAAACTTGGCTCAACTTAGCTTCACTTCACTACTCAATATCAGGAGCTGAATACCAGGTCAGGTGGAACAAGTCGGGTCGGGTATAACAAAACACACAGATCTTGAAAGCTAGTTTAAGGGTAAAACGGCATCATTTAATCTATGTATAAAAGTTCAAAATTTCATTTCCTCCCTCAAATTTTCACTTGCTCTCTCTCTTTTTACCTTATTTTTTCTCTTCCTCTCTCAAGGAACAGAAGAACCCAGGTTGGAAACTTTAAGGGTTTACAGATCTCGACACCGATGCCATCATACTCTGCCACTGTCTGACATCCAGTCAAGCTGAAATTTTCACTGTCGCTACTTCTCACTCTCCTCGTCTCGAATATGGGCTCATTTTTTCAAAAATCCACCTCAATGTCCCTAATCTGAAGCAAATATTTATGATTTTTTTCCACAGTCTTTGTTCTTTCTCACCATCCAATCTTTCCCAACTTTCAGTATATTGTTTCTCTTACCAATCTCTTCATCCTCACTGTTCAGATCTCCCAGAAGTCACGCCGATCATCGCCTACCCCCACTACTACTAAAGGTGGGTTCCTCTTCCCCTTTTTACTTGTATTCTCTTCCATTTTGTTTTATTCTTTTCCTTTTCTATTTTTAATCTCCTTTGATTTCTAATCTTGCTTCATTTCCTCTCTGAATTTGTGTTGGTATGGCTGACTAACGATGGGTGATTGTCCAACTAGAAACTAATGGTGGTGGCAGGTCTCGGTTCCTAGAAGCTCGGTGATGGCTCTGTATGTGTTGCTGTTTTTTGTGTGATTCTCTATTTTTGCTCTCAATACTGCTGTGTGTTGTTCTGTTTTTTCTGGGTCTTTTCTCTGATCACTTCCCCCATTTTCTTTACAAAATAGAAACTCTTATTGATCAATGCAAATGGCAACTATTGTTCGTGGGTCACTCCCACCACCAAAAAATTTTTGGATTTATTGTGCTTGATGATCTTTATTTGTTGTGTATCTGATGAATTTTTGTTTGATTGCTTGTGTATTGGACTTCTCTATTCTGGAGCTTTGAGATTCTGCTGCTGATGCTGACAGATTGGGTTTCTCTATTTGCTAGGAACGGGTTTTCTGAGGATTAGGCTAGAAATTGGGTGTATTTTCTCTGTGTTTCTCGTGTTTTTCAGCTTGAATTGCCATGTGCTTTTTTTGTTTTCCTGTGATTTTTCTCTAATCACTTGCCCTGTTCCTTTTCGTTGTGATTGCAAGGATTTATAAGCCAAAGCTGATAGAGTTTCAGCTCAATTTCAATTCGTTTTACAAAGCTGAAGATTAGCACCTAATCTTGTAGATAACAATTATCACTAAGCTTAATCTCAAACTTCCAATTTTATTTTTTTTAATCAGATAATGAAGAAAGAAAAAAAAAAGAAAATAAACTAGAGATAAACCACAAAATAAATAAAATAAATAAGTAAATATGATAAATACAAAATAAAGTCTAAAATAAAAACAAATAAAACCCTACAATCAAGCTTGAATCGGGCTCCAATTAACAAAAATCTCCGGATAAAATGGAGTGTCTACAAAGACTTTTGAAAAATCAACAACATTAATCACTAAATGGATAATAGATTTACAGGAAAATGACTAGATAAGAAAGAGTAAGAGATTTCATCATCTTTGGGTTTAATGAATTAAACTTTTCACTTCATCTTCATGAAGTGATTAATTGTAATAATAGGGTAAAGAAACTGATAATTGCTGGAATTGAATGCATTATGCTTTAAACATTCCCTTGGAAGATTAATCACTAAATAGATAATTAATTGACAAGAAAAATGGTTGGATAAGAAAGAGGAAGAGATTTCATCATCTTTGGGTTAAACTTTTCACTTCCTCTTCATGAACAGATTAATTGTGATAATGGGGTAAAGAAACCGATAATTGCTGGAATTGAATGCTTTGTAATTTGAACATTCTCTTGGAAGAGCACTTTGAAATTGCAAAGCTTTAATTTACAAGTTGAAAGGTCAAACCAATTTGTAGAGTTGCACGGTCAAACAAATAGAAAGATTTCTATAAAATGAGAGAATAGCTTATTTATGAAGTTAACACATGATGACTTCTTATATAACTGTAAGTTCAAATAGATTTATGTTAGATAGGGGATGGAAGGGATTTAAGAGATCGGTAAATCAAAGGAAAAATATTTTAAACTTTGTAATTCTTACATTGAAAGATTGAATCCAGAAAGAAAGACCATATTTCATTTTGTCACACAACCAGACACATAATTTTCAAGACATCATGCAACTTTTTAGTATTTGAGATGGACAGTGATCCTCAGCAATGTCTCAGCACCATCAGTAACATGTTGACCAGGTGGTATAAGTGGTCGAACTTCAGCAAGTCCATAAGCATTTTTAAACTTGCCTGTTCCACCCGTCACTGATACATGTGACATGGTGCTTCCAATCTTGTACACTCCGTAGAAGTTGAGGTTGTCGTTGTATTCGCCACCCTCAATCATGGCTGTGAATGCCATCATTTGGGTTGTTCCATCTGCAGAGCTAGCCACATAAACTCCTTGAGCTTTTCCCATTGCCTGTGACCCCAAATCAGGGCTGTTAGTGAGTATGTCATCGATGACGGTGATTGTTCCGAAGCCTAGTCCCAAGCCATCTGGTCCCAGAGGGAACTGAGGATTACCATTTTGATTTTGATTTCCTGCGAAAGCTGTACCAGCTAAGCCAGTTCCTAATGGGAGACCATTGATGCCATTGATAGTAGGAACAGCACCATTGGCATTGGGGATTGCTACTCCACCTTGTGGGGGGAGGAATCCCACTGGCTTAGCAAAAGGTACCTGACCACTGTAGATGTTTCCTAGTAATCCAGTTATTGGTCTAGCTGTGGGGCTACTTCCTCCAAGGATATCATGCATGTAGAACTCAAGGACCGGTTCTTCTGCTGCTGCTGCTGCTGCGGTGCCTGCTGCCAAACATGTTACCATGTAGGCAGCAGCAATAAGCAATGTAATGAAAACTGGGGAAAGTTGCTTGGACATTTTGGAATGTTTGCTTGATCAGGGTCTTTGGTTTTCTAATGAATTGCTGCACCGAAGCTCTTTGAGATTAGTATGCCAGTCATTATGAAGCTTGCTCTTTAAATAGAGACTTAGCTAGAGAGGAAAGCATCAGGCTATGGAGTTGTTGGAAGGATTTGTGGTGGTGAAGTTGTTGGTGTGACATTAGCTATGACAAGTTTGTCATTCTATTTTTCTTTTCTTGGTGTATTGGTTAACTTTTCAATCAAAGAAAATTTGGCAGTACCGATACTCTCCAGAGTTATGAGATAGATTTCCTTGAATTCTTTGTTTTTTTTTGTAAAGTTAATAGTAATAATATAATCTGATTATATTAGCTTCATATCTCTGTGAACATTAAAGTTTTTTATTAAACAAGTAAACAAGTCAAACATGAACGAAATTTTTTACGTTCATGATATGTTCATTTAATTAATGAACTCTAAAATATTGTTGGTGATCATCTTTTAAGTTAAATAAATGAACAAAAACTAAATATTTTTATGATCTATTCGCTAAATGTTCTCCTTATTTACAGTGCCACGTTAAATCAAGTTTGTTCACAAACTCTTTGTTAAACGTTATTTTCTGGTTTACACTCCTATATTGATTGAAGACACATTGATATTGAACAGCATAAGCAAATTCTTTGTTTGACTTCCATTTGGACCGGTCAACCCTTCATTTTCGTTCTCTCACCTCTTCTTCAACTGCCACAAAGAATCAGGACACTTTCTTTCCATGTTTAGTTTTATCATTTTGAGAGAAGCTCTTTCGGTTCTTATTATTACTAAGAAGGAATTTTATTGATAAGGAAGAAATACAGAAGATACATCAATCAAAATGAAGGATGAATCGTAATCATCCCCAAACCCCTGCAGCAGTCTTGGACATTGCCTGCTTTTGATTCATTCAACCAAATCATTTTTAACATTTTGGTGAGTGGTTAATTTTCTTGCTTAAATAAAGTGTAGCACTATGCCACCAGAACACACCAATGACTGTTTTAAGTTGAAAGAAAAACTTTTTGGTGTTTCGTTGCTACTAATAATTGGTTCTGTAGATAAACATATAGCCATTGAAGTGCCAAAGAGCAATCTCTTTTAGACTTTGACTTATGAACTTCAAATTTTGGTACGAGTGTCAATCATGCATGTATTGCCCTGAGGCACCTCGAGTCATGGCAACCTGGCTTTTGGTAGTTTCCTTCAGGCAATTCCTAGCTTTTTACAGTCAATTGAGGACCCCAATTTTATGAACAATCATGATAATAGGTTGTCGGATCCAACTGCATATAATTTAATTGAGGATTGCAGGATTTTAGCCTGCATCATCTTTCATCTCATGGATTTGGTGGAAATTAGAAGGTCCTACAGAGTGGAGTTGTTAGCTGTAGCTGAGCAAATGGAGAACACAATAGTTCACCAGACTTATTAAGTTGGACCCTGTTTCTATAGGATATGCTTAGAGACTTGAACAGATGGAAAACTCTTATTTACCATAACTAAGTCCATTAAGAAGTAAAATTTTTCTATCAATCATTGGCAGTTAATAAGAAGTGAAGTCTTCCCTTCGATGTTTATGTACCCACCTTAAAAAGTGAGATCTACTAGATTTGAGGTTCCAATCTCAATGCCTACAACGTCCTTTATTCTCTAACTGCTACCTTCTTTGTACCAAAAAGATTTGTAACTCCAAGCATAGAGGATGCTTAAGATTTCTTCTTTACTTGGTGTAGTCATCTGATTCCTTATATTCCATAGAAGCAGCGTTAGATAGCAAACATAAATTATCATAATTCCATTATGGATTTCCAGCAAAACGTATTTCTTTTGGGTGACAAACATCCAAGGTATTTGTGAATGGAAATATCTTGTTAGATAAAAGGAAGTACAAACCATGCCAGCAAGAATTCGACAGGGAATATACTCTCCAAAACACTTTCAGTAGGTTATATGGACTACAATTCTCAGCAATGTCACTGCACCATCAATGAAATGCTGACCGTTGCTTCAGCAAAGCCACGTACATTCTTCAACTTACCAGTTCCACCAGTCACTGACAAACGCGGTCCCGATCTAGCATATGCCACAGAAATCTATAATCCATTTAACATCTTGAAAACCAAGGGTGAAGATCTCCAATGAGTCTCCTAGTAGACAGCAGACTTGGATCATAATGTAGAAATATTAGCTTGGGTGGAGTTACTATAGATTTTAAATTGGTGGCGAAGCTGTTGATTTATTCTGATTTCGAAATGTAAATCATTCTGCTTTAACCATTGCTCTTCTGCATTAATTCTTTTATTTTTTAGTACAAACCATATGCAGTGAGTTGGTGGGACGCAAGCATTTGATGGCTACGAGCTTTGACCAAGGATACTAAAGAGCAATTCTATCTTTGCTTTATTTGCAAATGGCTCAACAAAGATATTATGTCGTTAATCAATTCAAAGCTCTCATTCTTGATATAATCATGCTAGATTTCTGAATTCTTTCTCGTGTTTTACATAGCTCAAAGCTTGAATCCGACAAGAACAACTAGCGGAGAAAAAAATGGAAAGAATGAAGAAATACAACAATGGAGATGTGATACAATCTTAATTGCAAAACAAAGTACCGGCAAGGTTGAGTTATATGCTTATCTGCTGCACAGACTCCTCATTGTTCTCGACCTTAGGTTGCTTCACAACAGGGGCAATCAACTTCCACACTGTACCAAAGAAAAGAAATAAAGGACAAATATCAGTCTTTTGCTCACAACCTGGCTCGGGTTATCTTTAACTTAATAATGATTTCATTCCAAATATTATACAATTAACCTTTGAAAGTAAAATTTTTTAAAAGATTGGCTAAAAGTAAGACTTGGTTGGCCTAGATAAATTGCATCAAAGTGATTGTTTATCAGCCAAATTTTGCACAAGAAATTATATGTAGAATTGCCAAAGAATGATACAGAAAAAAGGGGATGGCAGGAGTATGTTGACGCTGCTAAATTTTTTAATTTTTTATTTTTCCCTTCATTTCCAAATAGTTGGTAACATCAAGCTACTTCCAGCTGATTCCATAATCACATAATGTTTGTGCTAAATTGGCCAAGCATGGGGCCATTCCAAATTTAGCTAAGAAAAGCTCCTACCTAGCATGCCATTTGTTTGTGATAAATTTGAACTAGGGAGAAGAGCTCAGAGATAGGCATGAGAGAGTTGAGAAGAAGAGCTCAGAGAAGAGAAGAGAGTTGGCAGAAGAATACCTGGAGAGAGCGGGGTATTTATACAAGTTAGCTCGGACTAAACAACCAAAACACCACTGGTCCAATTGTGAGAAGTGCTGCTAAATGCACCCCACCCTTTTCTCTTCACACTCAATTGTGAGCCACTTTCTTAGGGTAAAAGACAATTATACCTTATAACCCAAAAATGCCCCTAACACATAACTTTAGGCAGATAACTTCCTAAAGCTAAAAGCAACTAGCTAAGGAAGTAAATCCCATCTCATACTCTTAAGGAAATTTAAGTTGCAAAAAGACAGAAGTGATCTGAAGGGAAATGCATAACATGAATTCACTTACTGTATATCGTGGCTGCAAACCACTCGTTGATGATTTTCACCCATGTACTTGTCCAGCCAACATCAATGCTCCATCTGATTGTTGTAAAATGAGTACATGAATATACACTAGAAAAGTGCTCTCAGAAAAAATTTTACAAGTAATCTAACTCTCACTTCCTTGCTGAGTCTTCCAGGTTCCAACTGATGAACAACATTGCAAAATACATGGCACCCAAGGAGAATATCATGTGGAAAAATCCATAGTTATAACGGATATCATCCTCTAGTTTCACCTCATCTTTGCGAAACTGGAAAAACATAAGAGCTGCTCATGACTATTTCTTATCTAAACAGACAACTACCAAAAAATAGCACTATTCAGCTGCCTTTCAAATATAATCTCAACGAATAAACACTAAATAGCTGTGAAGTATTCATCAGTAGATACACTTTGAATAAATGGAAATTGAAAACACCAATGTTCAGAAATTTAATTTTGCAACCTGAAACAAATGCAATTAAGCCCGAAAAAAGGAGTAATTTACCTGAAATGATTTCGAATCAATCCCTGTCGAAAAGGTTGCCATGACAATGGCACCTATTGCTATCAGGAACCCCTGAAAATGAGAGAAAAAATGACTACAACAGTTTAGAGAAATATCAAGCAACAGGGAGGCAAAGAGATGAATTTAAAAAATTTAGGAATACTTGGAAGACAAAAGTTGCTCACAACTTTGTTATGTTTGGGCTGAAAAGTATAAAATACAAGATTATAATTGCAGAAAATATCTACTTGTCTAAGTTTGGAAAAGGAATTTCCAACTCTTACAAGTATGGTGGTCCAATCACCATGTCGATCATTAGGCTTTTGTATGTTGCATTTTTCATCAGCTGGTTCACTGAAAAGCCATGTGGTAAAACCAAATGTCAGTTTTTCTTCTGTTAATTTTTTGCTGCAACTCTAAAAGTTTACAAAATATGAAGCTAATAATAGAAATGCAGGGAAGCAAACTATTTTAAGCATGCAGGAATTAGAGTCATTTAACCAGAGAAAGAATCAAGAATCAAGGAATACAAAAGCAACTCTAGACCCGAAACATCTTCCAACATATTCGAAGTAGGGAATTGATTTGAAGTTGATATCATCAGAATTCAACAAGAATTTTGTTTATTAAATAAAACTGGAAATGCATATCATGAGAAACCTGAAGCATATTATAATAGCTCACACCTAAAAACATCAGCATCTGGAAAAAGGAATAATATGTATAACAAGAAGAATTGGCAATCTGCAGGAGATAGTGCTGCTAAGGTAAGAAAGTGACTTGGAATTGAGCCATTATGACACAAGTAGTGACCCTTGAACAATGAAACTGAGTGACTTGCTCCTTTAATCTTCAACAATGACATAAATGGATGGTAAAAAGAAAAAACTAAGGATCACAATGTGGTACAAAATGTAGAGAAAACTTAGACTTCCTTAAAGTGATATTTTCAGAAGATGCACCACATTTCCAACACACTCTATTTGCCGAGATATAAGTTAAACCAAATTTCAAATATTGCGATTAAATTTTGGCCTTCATAGTGACATTATGATCATGCATGTACTGAACAATTACACTTCTTCCTGCTACCTTTGAAGCCTTGATCTAAAGGCAAACACATATCTATCTAATCTAACTATTAAAACACAAGGTGGGGCATATTAGTGCAACAGTACATTGATCCACAGTCATTACTGAAGTAGGGTCATCCATATATCAGTAGATTGGTTTTCATTAGCGTTATTAATGTACAACATAAAACTTTGAAGCAAGAAATGCAAGCTAGCTCATAAGGGTGAGCTTCAGCTCAATTCATTGCAGAAGGTTAGAATATGAGATCAAGTCCTAACCTTCTAATAGCAGACCAACAGAGGAAAACAACATATGAAGCCATAATTCCTGAAGATAAAAGACCCCTATTAACCTGCATTAAGCATGAGATAGTAGCACTCTTTTTATCAAATCATTTTAGATTAATAAAACCCTTAGCATAAAGTGAGTTATTAGATATAAGTTATGATGCAATATCACAGCAGAAAAAGAAAATAACACATAAAATTCCATAGCAAACATATAAAGTGGAGTTGCATGTTTCATATTGTTGCAGGTAGTGGATGATGATCCACACTATTACCATGGTGAAGTGAATACATACAAAAAAAAAAAAAATCATCATGGTAATAACATAACACACTCTCAAATGTGTTATAGAACATAGATCATCATCTTTATGCCTGCAAATCTTTAATGCTAGTCATTTCTTCCCCTTTCTCAAAAGAGGTTTTGTTATCTAAATCATTGGAAAACAGTGCTGAAAAATGCTCCAAGGTGCTAATGAGTGATATTTCAAAGAAAGTGACTAGCATACCTTTGAATGCAAGGACATAGCCATCATCACTATAAGCAGAACGGCAGTCCATGTAATGAAGAATATGTTGAGAGAACATGCTGGTCTTGGGGCATAAAAATAGTACATGGACACAATTCCACAGATGGAAGCAACATAAAAAACTGTTGAGGTAAATAATGCAATGGAGCAGCTGCAAAAGGACAAGAAGATAGTGATACTTTAGCAAATGCATATTTAATTTCAAGAAAATGAAAAAGGCCTAAAAGGTTGTCTTATCCATAAATTAATTTATTATCATGACCTCTATCCACTTATTCATTCCAATTCTAGTGCCACTATCTATAAAATATGCATTCAGTGTTACAAAGGCAAGTCATGAAGGTTTATGCAGGGAATGTGATATGGCCAATGCAAATTGAATCTGCATAGTCAAGATAGCGAGATGCTTCCAGTATCTGTTAATTCTAAAAATATTTATATTTATTTCTTTGGTTAGGACAAAAATAGAATCATATTCTGATCAGTTATATTCCATGTACTCTATTTTCATTTTGCATTGCATGTTCCTGTTCACCACCCATAGAGGTAATTCAACACCCAGTTGCTGCAATCTTTCCTGTAATAGGATCTTTAATCTGGATAGGCATCACAAAGTCAATATCATTCAGGAATGATGTTCTCTACTTTCAGATTCACTGGAATTTGATATGATGATAAGCATTATAATCATTGCACCGACCATTTATTTTCTATTCCTCATCACTAAAATTCCTCATGCTCCATTATGACTTTTTGTACCAACTATATGAGAAAGTGTTTAAATCATCATCTATTATTCAATGGATGCAAATTTTGTCTATTTTACCTATCATACACTAATATTCCAGGAAAGCAAATGATCTTACGGATATGCAGACTTTGTAATAATTCCGTAATCTCAATGATATATAGCCTTAAGAAAGGAGAAAATACCTTTGTTTACTTTGCTCATCAGTTGCCCAGCGTTTATTCCACCATCTGATAAACTCAATCACACTTATAAGTTGCAGAAGGAGAAAAATCCTACATTACATGAGCAGAAAACTACATATTTAATCTTATACTCAGAAGCTAATGTGTAAGTTAAAAGAAAGTGCCTGGCATTGTTGTCAATTCTTTTAGGAGTTTGAAAATGAAACAATAAATATGTTTTATTGCTAACTGAAGCCTCTCCATGCTCTTCTAATAATTTTGCAGCTGAAAATGAATGATGCACCATGTGATGTGTGGCATACTCAAGTAATTAGGGGAAGAAAGTATGAAATTGTACAAGGTATAGTAAATAGATAACTTTATATTGTCTTTTCAGATCGATATCAAACCAAGAAGGCACATTGTTATAGGACACTTCAAATGGTTCTAATATTAGATTACAGTTTGTGCCATGATGTAAAGAAGATTGTAGCTGAGAGTGATTTCATAAAATGGAAAAATGTTAAATTAAAGGCCGGAAGCATAAAGAATACCCTGCACCAATGCGAGCAACTTCTCCTGCAAGAAGAGAAAATAAGCTCCTCAATTTATGGTTTCATGAAAAACTAGAAGTTCAAAGAAAAAGAAAGATCTTTTCTGTAGTTTGTAATTGATAGCTCGTCATCATCTAAATGTTTAAGTTGAGCTTTGGTTCATATAATCATATCAGCATGTTTAACATTTTCAAGTTCTTAGGTTTGGCTTTCAAAGCAAGCATACCATATATCTGAATAAATTCTGGAGGGAGGAAGAATGGAACCACCATTGATACAACCAATAGGAAAAACTTCAGTGCCCACCATTCCGAGTGCCATTTACTGAAGGCTTGGTATAATTTTCTTGCAGTAAATGTGGTAAGAAACATGAGAAAGAAAAAAATCTGAACTCTTTGTCAAGGAACCCAATTGTGAAAGATAGGAAAGTAAACAAGAAACTAAATATATAAGTAACAGAATAAAGATAACACTGTTGTTAAAACTCAACAGCATTGGTAACCTCTGAAAGTTTGAATTCTTAGGTAGGACTCTTTCTGATATTACAACTGTTAATTGGGCATCTAACATATTACGGATACCAGAATCTAGCATTTTATCCCAAAACACAGTATAATACTTTTACCTATGTTTGATACGAGGAAAAGAAGAAGAAAGAAAGAAAGGGAGGGAAAGAAAAATAGTGTTTGTTTCCTTCCTTTTCTTAGTTTGGTAGAAGGGAAATAAGAGGGGAAGAAAATGGATGGATTTATACCTTCATCATTTCCTCCAAATTTAATCCTTCCAAAATTGAGAGAAAACACTTTTTTTTACTTAAGTTAATCATTTTCTTTACAATTTCATCCTTAATCTCTTTCTCGCTCTCTATTTTTCACCTTCCATACCAAACACAAGAAAGGAAAAACATCTTTCTTTCCTCTCCTTCATTTTTCTTTCCTTGACATATTTCCTTTCCTCTATTTTCTACCTTCCTACCAATCATAAAGGAAGAAAGAAGAGGAAAGAATCGGATTTTTTGGGTCCAGCTCTCCTGCATTACTTTTCTATCCATTACTTTCCAACACACCTTTAATCACCATTCATAGGCTTGACATCCATAATTCATGGGTGGATGTTATCCATGTGAATGTTAAATTGGTGACTATAGATATATTGAATAGTAATGGATAAAAAATGTAATGGAGGGGAGTCCAATCTAGGAGAAAACTAGTCTCTTCAAAGAGACAATGTAGCAAATTAGAGGAGTATAATGAACAGGGGGGAGCTGATAAATAAAAGCTCCAAAGAGAGTAAGAATACAGATTCCAATTTCTAAATGGAGAATATAATGACAGAAAGATGAGAATTCCCTGTGGAATGAAGGAGTAAATATAAAAAACTGATAAGTAAAAGATACAAAACATCCTAAACTCACACGGAGAACTCCCATTGCGTGAAAACAATCACTTCCACTGATTCCACAAGCTTTTTTATCTGTAAAAGAAAAAAAATAAAACATTTGCCACATAAAAATATAGAAAAGAAAATTAGAACATGTAATTAAATACTATTTTCTACCCATGTCCAGAAGAGGTTTCTTCAACAACAGTACATACTAGTACCAGATTCAGAAATTCTAAGGGTACAACAGCAAGTATATGCTGAAATTAAAGGACCCATAATTTGAGATTAAAAAAGATGAATCCTCAAATTGAAGCCGCATTGTGAATTGATATGATAAAAACCTTGGTAAGTTGGGAGTCATGACTCAACAACGGGTAGAAACCAAAAGTTAATTCATGAGAAAATCCTAATAAATTTGTGGAGTTCAAAGAGGAAAAATTGACTCACAATACAGTGGAGGGAAAACACTTTGCCCATAATCACGAATGAACCAGGCAATAAGATTAGTTATGAGAAAAATGATGCCATAAATATATCTGGCTCGAAGTGACTTCATCCTTTGTGCACAACATTCTACATTGTTTGGCTCAAATGAGGCCTCTTCTTGCTGAGCAAGCTCACAGTTGCTTGAACTTATCTGTACCACACTAGCTTCAACTGCTGCCGCAGACCCACTACTCATTCTGCCATTTTATTTGCAATGGTCAGTATAGCAGACCCAGTATTTTCACACAAAAGACAAAACAATCCTCTACCAGCCATTGCTCAATCATCTTAATATGGGCCTAAAAGAACACCAAAAACCATGAAAGGAGCTCTCTTTAATGGCCATGATGACAATGTCATTCAGATGATGAAAATGGAAGACAAGAAAAGAAAGAAATACACAGTGCAACAGTAAATGAGCAAAAAAAAAAAGGGTTGAAACTTGAAACCTTTTTGCTTCTGGGGCCTGATCCTTGGAGTGCAATTAGAGGCTTGCAGACCTGAAGGAGATAAATATAAATGAATCTCCTAGGTCACATCCACACGTTAGAATAACAAATAAGAAGAGCACCAAAGAACCATGAAGAAACAATTTTTTAAGAAAAAAAAAAAAAAAGACTACTGCTACACACAATATAGCCGTTGCTTCTTTTCAGCCCATTTTTCATGTTCACTTTTTGTAATGCAACGATGATTCCATTATCATGTAACATTATTAACCCAAAGTTTGGACCGTAACATTACTTTTCTTTATTAATGTCAAGCTTTTTTTCTTTTTCTTTGTCCAATTTCTTCTGGTCCATTTTGGCTTTTGCGATAATGTCCGTTTTCAGTGAGAGTCATCTCGTCGTTATTCAGAGTTTGGGTTCGATTTTTATAAAAGAAAAAAAAACCATTTCAAAAATAAAATTTTTAAATATACCATATTAATGTAAAGAATAAATCTTTAAAATCGTTGGGAAAAAAATCCAATTCAAACAAAATTTGAATAAATTTTTATTCATTTATAAAAATATTAATATTTGATTATTATATAAATCTACATTATATATATCCAGCTCATTGTCTTGAAACTTATAAGTTACTTCCATCTTCTGACATCTTCTAAACAACAAACACATGACACAATTAGTCATGACGATTGACGCTAACAAAAAAAAAAAATAGTAGTAAGCGTGTTTTCTTATTAAGCAATAACGTCAAAGGGAGCCAGTCAGGAAGCTTCTTCAGTCCACAAACATTTACTAATTTGCCCAATTTTTATTTTTATTCCACACATGAATAGAATGCTTGTAGAAATAAAATATTTAATGTGATTTTTGAATTTTAAAAATTATTTATGTAGTAATTGAATTGTAAATTTATTAATTAAATAATAATATTTGATAGATAAGTAATCATATAAATATTATATTAATTAATATATTTATATTTTAAATGCTAAATTATAAATTTTTAAAATTTAAATATGGTATTAAATATTTTATTATAATTTTAAAATTATTCATATTATTAACCTTTTTAATTTTAAGTGATATACACAGACTAAGAAAATGAAACATTTTAATTTTAATATAATTAATTATTAAAAGTAGGTTACTAGACATTAATTAAAACAAAATAAAAGGGTAAATAATTAAAGTAAAATTGAAAATTTTTGCGAGACTAATAGAGCAGGACAGGAGTCATATGACTCAACGCCAAATTATATTCTATTCTAGTATTACTGAAGGGAAAGAATGCAGTGATCAACAAATACATGGTTGTTTGATTATAATGAATAAAAAATATATATGGTTAGGGTTAAGGACAAAGAATGCAGTGATCAAGAAGATAAAACACTGTTGGGCCCATGTCTTTTGTTTTCAATTTTCCATTTCTTCTCCTGATTTTGATTTTGGAGACAGCGTGTGGTCCCCCTTTCCTCCCCTTCACATCTACCACACATCGTGGGGCTCTCATCGGGCCCCTTTGGCTTTTGTAAAAGATTGGCTTTGCCGCGTTATCCTTAACTATTTGAAAATCTGCCACTTTTTTAAGGTACATTAAAGCACAAGCGTTCAAGAGTGAAGTCGAATTGGATGTAAGTCGGTCAACATTTAAAAATGTTTGTTTACAATTCAGTCCATCAATTAAAGTTTATTTACATTCATTTAATAAAAAATTAATATTAAAATATCTTTAATTTATTTTATATTGATATTTATAAATTTTTATGTAATTTATAATTGAAATCAAATAAAAATAAATTATTTCATAATAAAATATATTTATTAATCGAACTAAGCTTAAACTTAAAAATTTTTATCCAAACCTCGATTCAGATCAAGTCTGAGTTATGGACAAGTCTAATTAGCTCCGAAACTATGCCATTGTCCACGTAAAATTTTATATTTAACCCACTAGCATTATGCATAATATGGTTAAAGAAGTCTAAATTATTTAAATTATTTATTTTACACTCTCTAATTGTGTTGAATTTGGATGTAAATTTCTTATTCAATAGAAAACATTTTCTGACACTCATTTTCCTTGTTTAAAAGCAAAATTTCAAGGTATGACACAAGCTATGATGTCAAAGCAAAATCCAGTTAATCGAACAAGAAGATTGCAATCTAAAACCAGCAAGTTAACTATAACAAACAGCAAGTTTCTGGTGAGACCTAAATTTGATCAAGTTTAATTAAGTCTCATTACTGCTTCAAAGGTTGCTATGTCACTCTTCCTCTTTTAGCTTTATTAATTATATATCTTGGTATTCATGTGTTTCCTTCTTTCTTGTTTTGAATTATGTTTTCATGAGTTGGTTTTTCACAAAAGAGATGATATATATATATATATGATTTATATTTTATTATTCTAATCGTTGATTTTATATTTTATTCACATAAATTATGAATGTCAAATTTTTAAGTTAATAAAAAATATGTAACTATTTATTTCATAATAATAAAATTTTAACCGTTAATATATATTTAAAAAATAATGTTTTCAATCGAAATAATAGGAATTTCAATGAATTAAAATTGATATGCATAATAAATTTGAGTGGATTTTTAAATTTAATGATCAGTTTATACAAATATTAATCCTACATAAAATTATATATGTAATAGAACTGAAGTGTAGTTAGGCAATAAGTAATCAATAATAAAAATTGGGTTTAGGTTTGTCTTTGTTAAGAGTGAGCTGTAAACTTGTAGCTATAGGAATATATGATTAAAAAGTTATAAAATGGGAGAGGATTAGGTTAGATAAAAGTTGGCAAGAATAATGCTGGGGAAGGGGGTAATAGTGAGAACTTGGAAGCCTGAGAATGAAAACCTCTCTCCTCCTCCTTAAGTTTTCTTTTTCTTTCAATCAATTGCATAGCTTCTTTTTTTTTTTTTTTTTTGGGTCTACTGGATGAATATTTTGTCTACATGGTTTGAGGATAGAAGAAGAATGGCCGATGGTGAAATAAAAAATTTTACTTAGTGGTTTAGCTCAAATATAATAATAATAATAATTAAAAATTTTATAATTATCATTTTATATTTTGAAAATGTTAACAATAATTTTATCACCAATACATTTAAATACATCTTTTTTAAGGTATGTAAATGAGCCATTATTTAGCCATTAATTTCTCATTGATTATCAAAACGAATTTTCAAGATATTTATTACTATAAATACTTTTTTCTACTGTAACAATGGCAACTAGTGAAATCAATATTAATGTCAACAACAAATAAAATAAAGGAGTAAAAAATTTCAAAATTTTTTAGTCCCAGAAACGGCTTGAGCCTAAGGATGGCAAAATATTTTGATCGAGCAGGTTTTTGCTGACTTTGACATCGACTTAACTCTTATAAAATTTTACTCTGTTCAAACCTGACTCAAAATGAGTAATTATTTTTTATACCCAACTTTGACCGATTACATATATGTATAATCTACATCAAATTCAAAATTAATTTAATAAATTTAATTTAGTATAATATTTTAAAAAATGTTATCTTTTAATATAAATTACATCCTAATTATATAAATATATTATTTTTATTAAATTAATATCTTAAATTAAATTATTAAATAATAATTTTATCAATATATATATATAAATATAAAATTAAATAAATAATTAAGAAACATATTTTATATATCCCTGGACGAATCAAGTTGGAGTACTTTAAAACCCACCTCTAATCTAATTTCAATTTTCTTAAAAAATATTCATCCTACCTCCAACCCAACTCCTAATTTTAAAAAACAAAAAGTCGCCCTATTGGATTAGGGCAAGTCAAAACCCATTAGATACAAGTTATCTCTCCTTGAGCTTTCATTGGACCTTTAATGACTCTACCCATGTAGATAGCTTCATTCGAAACTGTTATTTTTGAATTGATTTTTATTTTAAAATGATAAAATATTAAATTAAATAAGCTTGATTAATATTTTAAAACATATTATTTAATACATTTTTTTAGTTTTATATTTTGATACTAAATAAATAATATGATTTTCAAAATTTAAATAAACATTTCTTTATGTTTTCTTATTTTTCAAATCAAAACTATTTTTAAATATTATTTATTTAAGCTTAAATGAAAGTTCAATTATTGTTTTTAAAGTCACTTTATTCATTTTAGACTCAATACAATTTTGATAATATTGATTTTGAGAAATAGATTAACATAAGAAAGTTGTTTTATAATTGAAGACATTCATTTTGTTTTTTTTCTTTTTCTTTCTCTTTTTCTTTTGCTTCTTCTTTTTTTGTAACTTTCAGCTGCACTGTCAGTAGCCATTCTGACAGTCGGTGGTTGCCCTAGTCCTAGGCCACCAAAATCTTCTTTTTACTTTTATAAATAAAGCAATGAAATCGGTGAAAAATGGAAAAAGAGATGAAGAAACCCTTGCAAAAAAAAAAAGATAAAAAAATACACTGCTTGATTCAAAAAAAAAAAGCTTTCTGTGAAAAAAAAAAAACAGGGAAGGAAATCCTAAACAAAAAAAAGAGTTTCCAAAATAAAAAATTTCTTCCTGCCAAGAAAAAAAAAACCCATTCAAACAAAAATCACAGTCCCTGTCGATTGGCGAGGAATTCAGCGCCAAGCAAGACCTACAAAAACAAAAAAAAAAATAGTCAGTTTTAGTTAAAAAAAAAGGGAAGACTGAAACTTTAAACCCCGATCTACATCGATCGGGGCTATTTTTAGGGAAAAAGAGGTCAGATTTGACGAAAGGAGGTTGAAGGGAACGTTTTGGTGTTTTTTGAGTATTTTTTGATCACCGTTAATAACGGCTGACGACTGACTGCGACGAGTCATCAACCGACCGGTGCACCTTGCATTGGGGTTGAAAAAGAAGAAAAGATTATTTTTTTTTTTTAGTGAAGACAAAATGACTAAAAAAGAAATCTTGGGCCTTTTATAAAAACTACGAAAAGCCAAAACGATGTCGTTTCAATAAAGACCATAATGACACCGTTTTGAGCCCAGGATCCACACGTCAGCCCGTGACTCGACTCGAGGTTCGGCACCTAACTCGATGACCCTTTTCACCTTTAGCATCTGATCGGTCCATCTGAACCGAAATCGAACTACTAAACCCGAGCCTGACCAACACCTAACCGTTGAACTCGAGTCGGACCGACGTCGAATAGCTAAACTAGACCAAACGTTGAACCATCGGACTGGCATTGATCAGACTGTTAACCAATTCGGTTTAGGTAAAAAAATTTTTTTTGAACTTTTTATTTTTTAATATTATTTTTGTTACTTTAAATTTTATTATTAATATTTATACGTGTTAAAATATTTAAATTTGCTATAATAAATTTTTGTTGTTTTATAATATTAATAAATAAAGATATATAATGAAATCTATTGTTAAAATTT